ACACGAGCTCCGAGGTTCAGCTGGAGTTCGTGGAGGGTGTAGGCCCGGCCTACCGTGCCCGATTTACGAGCTTAGAAGATGCTTTTGTGAAGACCAATATTCCTGTCAAGGTTCTTAGACGATTCAAATTCAACACGGATTCGCGTGTGCCCCATCTCGGCCATGGGGTGATACTTCCTTTCGATCAATAGTACCTGTAATTCTGAATTATGAGTCTGTCAAAAATCTGTTGGAGATATTATTTTGGCATTAATGAAGTATCGCTTGGTGCTTCTTGAATTGCATGCGTAGTCCTTACAGCAATCCTTCGTATGTTTGTTTCCACAGTGTGTGCAGGTGTTCATCTCCACATATTTGATTTTACGATGAGCGCGCTCGATCTCTTGCGGCTTTAACTGTCCCTTAGGTAATTTATCCAATCCGAACTTCTTTCGCATCCAAACAAGCAAGTGTCTCCGCATTTCAGATCTCGATATTTCCGCCCCTTCTTCATATGCTACGTTTCCCATAGCGAATCCGTAGCTGTTATTATTATAGCAGTCTCGCGAAAATCATTGCTTCTATCAATAAATGACTGTGGGGCAAATGCCGTCACCTTCTTGCTTGCGTATGTTTCTTTGAGCTCGATATACTTTGAGCGGCATCGATGCAAGAACGTAGCGAACTCTTGATCTTATACTTTCTGCTCAAGTTCCACATCGACTTCGTCATCGGAGACTTGCTTGCCAAATTTAACAATCATCAGACGACGAACAATTTCGCCAGCTTCGTCTGTGTAGTTCGGCATATGATTCGAGTTGAGGCGAGTTGGAATATTCCAATCTAGCACTTCAATGGAGCCTTTCCCTTTGACGGGGCACGAAATTGAACCGCGAGTCAGCATTGATAAGAAATAAGCGCCTTAGCGATGTTATGAGGCATCTCATCGCAGCAAAATGGTCTGCTTCGTGACGCAGGCCAAATTTTTCTTGCATTGAGTTACTAAGAAGTCCAATACGATTATGCTGACGGCAAAGACGTGCTAAGCGAAAAATGGTTCAATGGCGGTGTAGGCGGTGAATCAACCACCACCTTTGTGCGATCGATTCATGCGTAGAACGGAGAACGAGATATGTTTTCTCTTGAAAGGAAGTATCACCCCATGGCCAAGATGAGGCTAACGCGAATCCGTGTTGAATTTGAATCGTCTAAGAACCTTGACTGGAATCTTGGTCTTCACAAAAGCATCTTCCAAGCTCGTAAATGGACGCTTCTTCGCGATTCGGGCACGGTAGGCCGGGCCTACACCCTCCACGAACTCCAGTTGGACCTCGGAGCTCGTGTTGATGCACGGTAACGGAACAGACTTGATGAAGAATGCACGAGCAGCAAATGGACCGTAGTACGCTTCCCAGCAGGTGGCATCAACAAACGCGGAGTTCAGCAGCAAACATAGGTCAGCCGTCACTAGACTCGTGCAATATAAGATGAATAGGTCGTCGGGACCAGCAGCCTTCAACCGCTCTTGCTCGAAAACGTCCAGTGATAGATTCCCTTCGACGCATTTACACTGATGAACCTCGTGAAAGAAGCCCTTCGTCGCATCTTCCAGACACAGAAATACATCTCCGGATGGAGACCCGTCTGCAGGCTGATACAGAAAGCACTTCCCTTGATCATTACCGCAAGAACACCTTTCTTCCTTAAATCCTTTGGTCTTCGTTGGCATCCGCTTGTCAGCTAGCGCATACGTCAATTGCCGCTCAATAACGCGTCGATTGCATCCATCGCCAAACCGTGCCCCATGATGTATATCCGTCCACAGCACAGGCTCCTCCTGGGCGAAAGCTTGCGATTTCAACACTCGGAACTTGCAGTTAAAATGCTCCCAAAGTTGCCAAGGTTTCAAGTCTTCCAACCGTTCTGCCGGTGCGTAAGTAGCATGTTTGCTCCATGGAATATCATGCGTTTCCAGCAGCATATAGAGAATGAACGGGCATTGGAGTTGGGTTCCATCGAGTCGGATCAACCCGCACGAGATAACTTGATCAAGCGTTAGATTTCCGAAAAGCGAATTTCCATCGACCCTCCGACGAGAAATCACCGCAAGAAATGCTTGCTTCATACTCTGCATCTGGGCAACAATCGCAGGGTACGCTTGTCGAATTGCAGCCAGCACTTTGTGCATCACCGGAATGAATTCAAAAGCTTGCCCCTCATTTTGCAGCATCACGATGAACAATTCTTCCAATGCTCTGCCATGCCCGCCCATGTCATCCACCAATAGCTGCGTCAAAGCTCCATTGCCATAGTCGAATGTATCAAATACGTCTCTACCGTTGATCTTCGGGCGCTCCAATGATGTCGTCTGCAGCATCTCTCTCCATTGTGGCGAAGCGGCCAGAAATTCATCCACTGGCTGGTAAATAGTCGCCGCGCAGATCACAATCAGCCAGCACTTGGAGGCATTGACGAGGTCACACAGCGACGCAAACGCCGTATAAAACTCGGAACGCTTGCTTCCTGCTTCATGCGGAAGCTTTTGCAAGCTGTCGACACAGAGAATCACGCACATTTGGCTCGGATCCGTTCCAGTGATTGCTGACAATTTCGACAATACTTGTTCAGGGACAACATGATTCGCATGATCCAACATAAATTCCCCCCAGACGACTGAATCCTGCAGTTGGTACAGCATTCGAGTTCCAATTGCCTGGCCCGGATCAATAAAATTACCTGGCTTGGTTGTTCCATTCTCAAAAGTGATCTTGAAATTGTAGGCTGTCTGCAAGAGCTGCTTCATCGCTGGATCGCCTTGTGTCTCATCGCGAAAGATTTCCTGCTGCAAGATTTTCGGAAATTCGTCAAGCAATCTCGACTTTCCAGTTCCGGGGCCATCTAAGCACACGAATAGCGGATGACTTCGCTTGTCCGTCTTTCCATCTCTCCAAGCTTGATAATGACGACCGATAGCAGATGCTAGGTTGCCGAGATCCAATGAATTCTGGAAATCCCAATTCGCACCAGTCGTTGCGACCAACGACTTTGGCTCCTTCCAAACGAACGATTTCTGCGATTCCGTCGGCACCACCACTTGACGCTGCGTCGGCACTTGCACAATGAGCGCATTCTCTTCATTATTCCCATACGCCGTCACTGGGGACCCCGACTGGGGCAGCAGCACGCTTCGCTTCGCATCGTACTCGGCCCGGTTCGCAAAGACTGTGAGATCGGACGCAGCAATCCCTGCGAGGTGACTGTCTCTGAACTTCTCCTTTACCGCATCCCGCAACGTATCCACATCTTCAACATCCACACCAACAGAAGTCGTCGATGTGAGATCCTTGCCGTTCCCGCCCACGAGCAGGAACCATTTCCGCGCCACCATCCCTTCTACGCGAGGCGCACTAACGAAATAACGTTAGACAGCTGGTACATCAAACTGACACAAACGTTACATAAAACTACACAACGCTAAACGAATCGACCAATTAAAGACAAGGACGATCGAAGACGAACGCTGAAACAACAAACGTGACCCGTGTGAGAACTGCAGGCAGTATCGTTGTTCAAATCAATCGAGACGGATATACATCATGGGCCATCATGATTCATGGGGCACGGGTTGGCGATGGATGCAATCGACGCGATATTGAGCGGCAATTGACGTATGCGCTAGCTGACAAGCGGATGCCAACGAAGACCAAAGGATTTAAGAAAGAAAGGTGCTCTTGCGGTAATGATCAAGGGAAGTGTTTTCTGTATCAGCCTGCAGACGGGTCTCCGTCCGAAGATGCATTTCTGTGTCTGGAAGATGCGACGAAGGGCTTCTTTCACGAGGTTCATCAGTGTAAATGCGTCGAAGGGAATCTATCACTGGACGTTTTCGAGCAAGAGCGGTTGAAGGCTGCTGGTCCCGACGACCTATTCATCTTATATTGCACGAGCCTAGTGACGGTTGACCTATGGTTGCTGCCGAACTCCGCATTTGTTGATGCCACCTGCTGGGAAGCGTACTACGGCCCATTTGCTACTCGTGCACACTTCATCAAGTGTGTTCCGTTTTACCGTGCATCAACACGAGCTCCGAGGTTCAGCTGGAGTTCGTGGAGGGTGTAGGCCCGGCCTACCGTGCCCGAATCGCGAAGAAACGTCCATTTACGAGCTTGGAAGATGCTTTTGTGAAGACCAATATTCCTGTCAAGGTTCTTAGACGATTCGATTTCAACACGGATTCGCGTATGCCCCATCTCGGCCATGGGGTGATACTTCCTTTCGATCAATAGTACCTGTAATTCTGAATTATGAGTCTGTCAAAAATCTGTTGGAGATATTATTTTGGCATTAATGAAGTATCGCTTGGTGCTTCTTGAATTGCATGCGTAGTCCTTACAGCAATCCTTCGTATGTTTGTTTCCACAGTGTGTGCAGGTGTTCATCTCCACATATTTGATTTTACGATGAGCGCGCTCGATCTCTTGCGGCTTTAACTGTTCCTTAGGTAATTTATCCAATCCGAACTTCTTTCGCATCCAAACAAGCAAGTGTCTCCGCATTTCAGATCTCGATATTTCCGCCCCTTCTTCATATGCTACGTTTCCCATAGCGAATCCGTAGCTGTTATTATTATAGCAGTCTCGCGAAAATCATTGCTTCTATCAATAAATGACTGTGGGGCAAATGCCGTCACCTTCTTGCTTGCGTATGTTTCTTTGAGCTCGATATACTTTGAGCGGCATCGATGCAAGAACGTAGCGAACTCTTGATCTTATACTTTCTGCTCAAGTTCCACATCGACTTCGTCATCGGAGACTTGCTTGCCAAATTTAACAATCATCAGACGACGAACAATTTCGCCAGCTTCGTCTGTGTAGTTCGGCATATGATTCGAGTTGAGGCGAGTTGGAATATTCCAATCTAGCACTTCAATGGAGCCTTTCCCTTTGACGGGGCACGAAATTGAACCGCGAGTCAGCATTGATAAGAAATAAGCGCCTTAGCGATGTTATGAGGCATCTCATCGCAGCAAAATGGTCTGCTTCGTGACGCAGGCCAAATTTTTCTTGCATTGAGTTACTAAGAAGTCCAATACGATTATGCTGACGGCAAAGACGTGCTAAGCGAAAAATGGTTCAATGGCGGTGTAGGCGGTGAATCAACCACCACCTTTGTGCGATCGATTCATGCGTAGAACGGAGAACGAGATATGTTTTCTCTTGAAAGGAAGTATCACCCCATGGCCAAGATGAGGCTAACGCGAATCCGTGTTGAATTTGAATCGTCTAAGAACCTTGACTGGAATCTTGGTCTTCACAAAAGCATCTTCCAAGCTCGTAAATGGACGCTTCTTCGCGATTCGGGCACGGTAGGCCGGGCCTACACCCTCCACGAACTCCAGTTGGACCTCGGAGCTCGTGTTGATGCACGGTAACGGAACAGACTTGATGAAGAATGCACGAGCAGCAAATGGACCGTAGTACGCTTCCCAGCAGGTGGCATCAACAAACGCGGAGTTCGGCAGCAAACATAGGTCAGCCGTCACTAGACTCGTGCAATATAAGATGAATAGGTCGTCGGGACCAGCAGCCTTCAACCGCTCTTGCTCGAAAACGTCCAGTGATAGATTCCCTTCGACGCATTTACACTGATGAACCTCGTGAAAGAAGCCCTTCGTCGCACCTTCCAGACACAGAAATGCATCTCCGGATGGAGACCCGTCTGCAGGCTGATACAGAAAACACTTCCCTTGATCATTACCGCAAGCGCACCTTCCTTTCTTAAATCCTTTGGTCTTCGTTGGCATCCGCTTGTCAGCTAGCGCATACGTCAATTGCCGCTCAATAACGCGTCGATTGCATCCATCGCCAAACCGTGCCCCATGATGTATATCCGTCCACAGCACAGGCTCCTCCTGGGCGAAAGCTTGCGATTTCAACACTCGGAACTTGCAGTTAAAATGCTCCCAAAGTTGCCAAGGTTTCAAGTCTTCCAACCGTTCTGCCGGTGCGTAAGTAGCATGTTTGCTCCATGGAATATCATGCGTTTCCAGCAGCATATAGAGAATGAACGGGCATTGGAGTTGGGTTCCATCGAGTCGGATCAACCCGCACGAGATAACTTGATCAAGCGTTAGATTTCCGAAAAGCGAATTTCCATCGACCCTCCGACGAGAAATCACCGCAAGAAATGCTTGCTTCATACTCTGCATCTGGGCAACAATCGCAGGGTACGCTTGTCGAATTGCAGCCAGCACTTTGTGCATCACCGGAATGAATTCAAAAGCTTGCCCCTCATTTTGCAGCATCACGTTGAACAATTCTTCCAATGCTCTGCCATGCCCGCCCATGTCATCCACCAATAGCTGCGTCAAAGCTCCATTGCCATAGTCGAATGTATCAAATACGTCTCTACCGTTGATCTTCGGGCGCTCCAATGATGTCGTCTGCAGCATCTCTCTCCATTGTGGCGAAGCGGCCAGAAATTCATCCACTGGCTGGTAAATAGTCGCCGCGCAGATCACAATCAGCCAGCACTTGGAGGCATTGACGAGGTCACACAGCGACGCAAACGCCGTATAAAACTCGGAACGCTTGCTTCCTGCTTCATGCGGAAGCTTTTGCAAGCTGTCGACACAGAGAATCACGCACATTTGGCTCGGATCCGTTCCAGTGATTGCTGACAATTTTGACAATACTTGTTCAGGGACAACATGATTCGCATGATCCAACATAAATTCCCCCCAGACGACTGAATCCTGCAGTTGGTACAGCATTCGAGTTCCAATTGCCTGGCCCGGATCAATAAAATTACCTGGCTTGGTTGTTCCATTCTCAAAAGTGATCTTGAAATTGTAGGCTGTCTGCAAGAGCTGCTTCATCGCTGGATCGCCTTGTGTCTCATCGCGAAAGATTTCCTGCTGCAAGATTTTCGGAAATTCGTCAAGCAATCTCGACTTTCCAGTTCCGGGGCCATCTAAGCACACGAATAGCGGATGACTTCGCTTGTCCGTCTTTCCATCTCTCCAAGCTTGATAATGACGACCGATAGCAGATGCTAGGTTGCCGAGATCCAATGAATTCTGGAAATCCCAATTCGCACCAGTCGTTGCGACCAACGACTTTGGCTCCTTCCAAACGAACGATTTCTGCGATTCCGTCGGCACCACCACTTGACGCTGCGTCGGCACTTGCACAATGAGCGCATTCTCTTCATTATTCCCATACGCCGTCACTGGGGACCCCGACTGGGGCAGCAGCACGCTTCGCTTCGCATCGTACTCGGCCCGGTTCGCAAAGACTGTGAGATCGGACGCAGCAATCCCTGCGAGGTGACTGTCTCTGAACTTCTCCTTTACCGCATCCCGCAACGTATCCACATCTTCAACATCCACACCAACAGAAGTCGTCGATGTGAGATCCTTGCCGTTCCCGCCCACGAGCAGGAACCATTTCCGCGCCACCATCCCTTCTACGCGAGGCGCACTAACGAAATAACGTTAGACAGCTGGTACATCAAACTGACACAAACGTTACATAAAACTACACAATGCTAAACGAATCGACCAATAAAAGACAAGGACGATCGAAGACGAACGCTGAAACAACAAACGTGACCCGTGTGAGAACTGCAGGCAGTATCGTTGTTCAAATCAATCGAGACGGATATACATCATGGGCCATCATGATTCATGGGGCACGGGTTGGCGATGGATGCAATCGACGCGATATTGAGCGGCAATTGACGTATGCGCTAGCTGACAAGCGGATGCCAACGAAGACCAAAGGATTTAAGAAAGAAAGGTGCTCTTGCGGTAATGATCAAGGGAAGTGTTTTCTGTATCAGCCTGCAGACGGGTCTCCGTCCGAAGATGCATTTCTGTGTCTGGAAGATGCGACGAAGGGCTTCTTTCACGAGGTTCATCAGTGTAAATGCGTCGAAGGGAATCTATCACTGGACGTTTTCGAGCAAGAGCGGTTAAGGCTGCTGGTCCCGACGACCTATTCATCTTATATTGCACGAGCCTAGTGACGGTTGACCTATGGTTGCTGCCGAACTCCGCATTTGTTGATGCCACCTGCTGGGAAGCGTACTACGGCCCATTTGCTACTCGTGCACACTTCATCAAGTGTGTTCCGTTTTACCGTGCATCAACACGAGCTCCGAGGTTCAGCTGGAGTTCGTGGAGGGTGTAGGCCCGGCCTACCGTGCCCGAATCGCGAAGAAACGTCCATTTACGAGCTTGGAAGATGCTTTTGTGAAGACCAATATTCCTGTCAAGGTTCTTAGACGATTCGATTTCAACACGGATTCGCGTATGCCCCATCTCGGCCATGGGGTGATACTTCCTTTCGATCAATAGTACCTGTAATTCTGAATTATGAGTCTGTCAAAAATCTGTTGGAGATATTATTTTGGCATTAATGAAGTATCGCTTGGTGCTTCTTGAATTGCATGCGTAGTCCTTACAGCAATCCTTCGTATGTTTGTTTCCACAGTGTGTGCAGGTGTTCATCTCCACATATTTGATTTTACGATGAGCGCGCTCGATCTCTTGCGGCTTTAACTGTCCCTTAGGTAATTTATCCAATCCGAACTTCTTTCGCATCCAAACAAGCAAGTGTCTCCGCATTTCAGATCTCGATATTTCCGCCCCTTCTTCATATGCTACGTTTCCCATAGCGAATCCGTAGCTGTTATTATTATAGCAGTCTCGCGAAAATCATTGCTTCTATCAATAAATGACTGTGGGGCAAATGCCGTCACCTTCTTGCTTGCGTATGTTTCTTTGAGCTCGATATACTTTGAGCGGCATCGATGCAAGAACGTAGCGAACTCTTGATCTTATACTTTCTGCTCAAGTTCCACATCGACTTCGTCATCGGAGACTTGCTTGCCAAATTTAACAATCATCAGACGACGAACAATTTCGCCAGCTTCGTCTGTGTAGTTCGGCATATGATTCGAGTTGAGGCGAGTTGGAATATTCCAATCTAGCACTTCAATGGAGCCTTTCCCTTTGACGGGGCACGAAATTGAACCGCGAGTCAGCATTGATAAGAAATAAGCGCCTCAGCGATGTTATGAGGCATCTCATCGCAGCAAAATGGTCTGCTTCGTGACGCAGGCCAAATTTTTCTTGCATTGAGTTACTAAGAAGTCCAATACGATTATGCTGACGGCAAAGACGTGCTAAGCGAAAAATGGTTCAATGGCGGTGTAGGCGGTGAATCAACCACCACCTTTGTGCGATCGATTCATGCGTAGAACGGAGAACGAGATATGTTTTCTCTTGAAAGGAAGTATCACCCCATGGCCAAGATGAGGCTAACGCGAATCCGTGTTGAATTTGAATCGTCTAAGAACCTTGACTGGAATCTTGGTCTTCACAAAAGCATCTTCCAAGCTCGTAAATGGACGCTTCTTCGCGATTCGGGCACGGTAGGCCGGGCCTACACCCTCCACGAACTCCAGTTGGACCTCGGAGCTCGTGTTGATGCACGGTAACGGAACAGACTTGATGAAGAATGCACATGCAGCAAATGGACCGTAGTACGCTTCCCAGCAGGTGGCATCAACAAACGCGGAGTTCGGCAGCAACCATAGGTCAGCCGTCACTAGACTCGTGCAATATAAGATGAATAGGTCGTCGGGACCAGCAGCCTTCAACCGCTCTTGCTCGAAAACGTCCAGTGATAGATTCCCTTCGACGCATTTACACTGATGAACCTCGTGAAAGAAGCCCTTCGTCGCACCTTCCAGACACAGAAATGCATCTCCGGATGGAGACCCGTCTGCAGGCTGATACAGAAAACACTTCCCTTGATCATTACCGCAAGAGCACCTTTCTTCCTTAAATCCTTTGGTCTTCGTTGGCATCCGCTTGTCAGCTAGCGCATACGTCAATTGCCGCTCAATAACGCGTCGATTGCATCCATCGCCAAACCGTGCCCCATGATGTATATCCGTCCACAGCACAGGCTCCTCCTGGGCGAAAGCTTGCGATTTCAACACTCGGAACTTGCAGTTAAAATGCTCCCAAAGTTGCCAAGGTTTCAAGTCTTCCAACCGTTCTGCCGGTGCGTAAGTAGCATGTTTGCTCCATGGAATATCATGCGTTTCCAGCAGCATATAGAGAATGAACGGGCATTGGAGTTGGGTTCCATCGAGTCGGATCAACCCGCACGAGATAACTTGATCAAGCGTTAGATTTCCGAAAAGCGAATTTCCATCGACCCTCCGACGAGAAATCACCGCAAGAAATGCTTGCTTCATACTCTGCATCTGGGCAACAATCGCAGGGTACGCTTGTCGAATTGCAGCCAGCACTTTGTGCATCACCGGGATGAATTCAAAAGCTTGCCCCTCATTTTGCAGCATCACGTTGAACAATTCTTCCAATGCTCTGCCATGCCCGCCCATGTCATCCACCAATAGCTGCGTCAAAGCTCCATTGCCATAGTCGAATGTATCAAATACGTCTCTACCGTTGATCTTCGGGCGCTCCAATGATGTCGTCTGCAGCATCTCTCTCCATTGTGGCGAAGCGGCCAGAAATTCATCCACTGGCTGGTAAATAGTCGCCGCGCAGATCACAATCAGCCAGCACTTGGAGGCATTGACGAGGTCACACAGCGACGCAAACGCCGTATAAAACTCGGAACGCTTGCTTCCTGCTTCATGCGGAAGCTTTTGCAAGCTGTCGACACAGAGAATCACGCACATTTGGCTCGGATCCGTTCCAGTGATTGCTGACAATTTCGACAATACTTGTTCAGGGACAACATGATTCGCATGATCCAACATAAATTCCCCCCAGACGACTGAATCCTGCAGTTGGTACAGCATTCGAGTTCCAATTGCCTGGCCCGGATCAATAAAATTACCTGGCTTGGTTGTTCCATTCTCAAAAGTGATCTTGAAATTGTAGGCTGTCTGCAAGAGCTGCTTCATCGCTGGATCGCCTTGTGTCTCATCGCGAAAGATTTCCTGCTGCAAGATTTTCGGAAATTCGTCAAGCAATCTCGACTTTCCAGTTCCGGGGCCATCTAAGCACACGAATAGCGGATGACTTCGCTTGTCCGTCTTTCCATCTCTCCAAGCTTGATAATGACGACCGATAGCAGATGCTAGGTTGCCGAGATCCAATGAATTCTGGAAATCCCAATTCGCACCAGTCGTTGCGACCAACGACTTTGGCTCCTTCCAAAAGAACGACTGCTGCGATAACGCTGGCACCACCGCTTGACGCTGCGTCGGCACTTGCACAATGAGCGCATTCTCTTCATTATTCCCATACGCCGTCACTGGGGACCCCGACTGGGGCAGCAGCACGCTTCGCTTCGCATCGTACTCCGCCCGGTTCGCAAAGACTGTGAGATCGACAGCATCGACGTTCGCGAGAGCGCTCGGACACTCTTTCTTCACTGCCTTTCGGAACGTATCCACATCTTCAACATCCACACCAACAGAAGTCGTCGATGTGAGATCCTTGCCGTTCTCGCCCACGAGCAGGAACCATTTCCGCGCCGCCATCCCTTCTACGCGAGGCGCACTAACGAAATAACGTGAGACAGCTGGTACATCAAACTGACACAAACGTTACATAAAACTACACAATGCTAAACGAATCGACCAATAAAAGACAAGGACGATCGAAGACGAACGCTGAAACAACAAACGTGACCCGTGTGAGAACTGCAGGCGGTATCGTTGTTCGAATCAATCGAGACGGATATACATCATGGGCCATCATGATTCATGGGGCACGGGTTGGCGATGGATGCAATCGACGCGATATTGAGCGGCAATTGACGTATGCGCTAGCTGACAAGCGGATGCCAACGAAGACCAAAGGATTTAAGAAAGAAAGGTGCTCTTGCGGTAATGATCAAGGGAAGTGTTTTCTGTATCAGCCTGCAGACGGGTCTCCGTCCGAAGATGCATTTCTGTGTCTGGAAGATGCGACGAAGGGCTTCTTTCACGAGGTTCATCAGTGTAAATGCGTCGAAGGGAATCTATCACTGGACGTTTTCGAGCAAGAGCGGTTGAAGGCTGCTGGTCCCGACGACCTATTCATCTTATATTGCACGAGCCTAGTGACGGTTGACCTATGGTTGCTGCCGAACTCCGCATTTGTTGATGCCACCTGCTGGGAAGCGTACTACGGCCCATTTGCTACTCGTGCACACTTCATCAAGTGTGTTCCGTTTTACCGTGCATCAACACGAGCTCCGAGGTTCAGCTGGAGTTCGTGGAGGGTGTAGGCCCGGCCTACCGTGCCCGAATCGCGAAGAAACGTCCATTTACGAGCTTGGAAGATGCTTTTGTGAAGACCAATATTCCTGTCAAGGTTCTTAGACGATTCGATTTCAACACGGATTCGCGTATGCCCCATCTCGGCCATGGGGTGATACTTCCTTTCGATCAATAGTACCTGTAATTCTGAATTATGAGTCTGTCAAA